TATTATAGTAAGTAAAGTAGTAGTAAGTTATTTAGTAGTAGTAGTAGGTAAGAGAATAATACTAATATATATATATATATATATATATATATATATATATATATATAGAGAGAGAGAGAGAGAGAGATTGGGGCATGATAAAAAAAGAGCCAAGATGCCCCATTTAATGCATATTTCATTATTAGTCCAAGTTAAACGAAAAGTCTTTTGCAATATAGAAATAAAACAGAGAAATTCAAGAACAAAACTATGTGATCCGACCTTCAATAATATTTTATTCACTTTCTTCCCAAACTATATATTTGACGATTATAGATGCACATGACATTCTTTTACTGATACATATAAACATTATTTTTCTACAAGTTATATATATGCATTCTTTTCTACAAGATAACTCTAGCATTCCTATTTATAATAGATAATAGATTAAACTTGAGTATACATGTATAAATGCTTAATAAAAGTCAAAACAGAAATTTCACATCAAATATATGTTCCTTTTTCCATTTTTAAGCTATAATTGGTAGGCAGTTAAGAATGTTGCTACGTTACACAAGCACTCCAAAATGGAAAGAATTTTAAATGTTGACACTGACAACTGTGTTGATACACCTTGAGACATGCAGAAAATGATACTGTATGTGGGTAATTTCCAATAATTTATGTTCCAGTTCATCGCATCATGTGCTAGAAAAGTCGGACTTATATGGTGACCATACCTGGGTCCATATTATAATTTACATCATGAAGATGTTATTCTAGGGACCAGCTGATCCCATCGTTCTAAGAGGAGCACAAAGCTGCAATTACTGGTTAAGCTTCCAAGACAAGCTAGCCCTATATTTAAAATATCGAGTTCAATAAATGTATTTTTTAACAAAAAGTGATCTTTCCTTGTCTCATGTTCATTAAAATGTATGTAAATAGTGTTTTACTCCAGACTTCCACTTAGTGCACTTTGAATAGTTTTAATGCTTTATTTAAGTAGTTTTCAACCATTTTTTAGAAAGAGCAAGTTTTATATAATAATTCTTATATTTTATATTTTCTCATATATTTTCATGCATGCGTCTTTTAGTGCAGATGTCATGTAGTGTCTCAAAATTTGGCTGCCGAATCTGACACCTTGGACACGTGTCAAATATGATGCACATATCCATGTCTACGTAACATAGCTATGTAGGGACAAAAAAAAAAAATCAACCAATAATTAAAGAAAATGGAATTATATATGTTTTAACATATGTAATTGGGCT